AGAAGATATGTTAGATCTAAATAAAAATAAACTTACCCTTACTATAAAATGTAAACTATAAGTGAATTACAGCAAAAAAATATTGCTAGAAACACCATTTATATTGCTAGGGCAGCAATAGGCTGCTAACCAAACGAATATATTTGTTTTAGCAATGTATGTGGTAGTCTATATATGAAACATAAAATATATTTGCCCTAATTATTTTTTTATTTAACTTTAGTATATATTTCTTTCAGTGTGGCACACTAGGACAGCAGCATTAAACTGACACTTATTAACACATTTTAACCGCTACTTACTAAAGCTCGCAAACAAAGGATGCAGTCACATAGCATCGGTAATCTAGCCAGTGATCAAATCGTATTTATTACAAGTGCATTAACGTTAATGGCGCCGCTTTAAAATTATAAAACCGCGAAAGGTAAGTGTAACAATTTGAGTTATGTGAGAGAGGAGAGAACCAACCAGATGGCTTAGCGAGGTGGAGAGAAGACGTTATCGGCCAACACCAACAATAATAATCGATTGAACCTGCAGCCGCCGATAGCGGGGAGATCGAGATAGCGGCCCGTAAAAGCCTATAATTTCGCTGCTAATTTGTTTTCGTATCGGTTCAGGATCGCAGGTCCTGCAACGATACGGACGAAGAGACTGAGAATATGGATTTCCAACTATTTAGGTCAGAGTTTGTTTTACTTATCTGACTAGCCCTTTAAATTCTATTGTTGAAATTAGTTGAAAAATTTAGTTAGTATAATATACTCGTTATACCTACTATTCCTCTTAAAATATTTTTAATTTTTTAAATATTTCTTCTCCCCTCTTACACATCGTTAGATAAAAACAATCAAAACATGAATCAAAAAACCAAACTCATAAATTTCAACGATTTTTCGAAGGATATTAAAAAAATTTCAAATGCGGTGAGGTTTATACAATGGCAGACCAGAACACCAAATCATTATTAGAACTTTGGGTTTAAGCTAGTTTAATTCCTGAGTTGGAGAGTACTTACGTATTATAATAAACAACAACAAAAATCCGCATGATTCAAACGCTTGTTACTACTATCATGGTGGCAAAAACAAGATTTGGCTTATTAATTATGGTAGTAGTAACAAGCGTTTGAACCATGCGGTTTTTTGTTGTTGTTTTCTAAATAATTAGGTAATAGTTTATATTAGTATTAATAAATATTATTATATAAATTGTTTTAATGCTGCGAGCTAGCACTAGGGTGTTCCAAAAAAAGTCGATAATTTTTTTTTTCGATTGCACGTGAAATTCTTGTTATATATGCTATAGAAAAAATTCTGTAAAAATTTGAGCCCTTAAGAAAATTTTTTGTATCACTTTTGGCTCCAAAATTGTGAGTCTTGTATTATCTTTTTAAATGATTATTCGCTATCATAATAAATTTTACAAAAAATTTGAAAATCTATCAACAAAATATCAAAATTTCTTTATAACAGTCAACAGAACTCTGAATTTACGCTTCAATTCTTTCAATTTTATTATTTTTCCATTTAATATAACAGTTTTTGGCTGTAACATATAATTTACACACAATTTTTAAATTTTTTAAGAATTTTTCCAATTACAACAGTTAATAAAAAGAAAAAAAATTCCTTTATCTGCAATTCCTGTAATAAGCCGGTTACCCAAAAAACAAAAACAATTGTTTCAAATAAAATCTATGTGATAAATGACAAAATTTTATTTTATAATTTTTTTTATTTGCATTCGAAGTCCAAATCAATATTATCCTATAACAATTGAGATATAACTCAATTAATTTTCAAATTTGAATTCGAATCTTTTTCAGAATTAAATGGAAAAAATCCAAATTTCAAAAAATCTATATTTTTCAACGCAAATAAAAACGAGAGGGTTGACGTTAGAGACTGGACCCTAAGAACTTTTTTTACAGAATTTAATGCTGAAGATGGATCAGTGATGGTTTTTCCGAAAAATAATGTTCTACATAGTTTGCAGGAGAAATGAAGGTTAAAAAATCATTTTTCCATGTTAAATCAATGGAAAATCTTAAAATTCGATGATGGAGTTCTTCAAGTTGATATTAAGGGCTCAAAGTTTTAAGAATTTTTTTTATAGCATATATAACAAGAATTTCACGTGCAATCGAAAAAAAAAATTATCGACTTTTTTTGGAACACCCTAAGCTCTACCATGGTGGATGTAAGTATTTGTTAAATTAAATTTCGTATTTATACTTTTTAAGCATTTTCACCATGCTGTTTTTTGTTGTAAATAAGTAGGTACATTTTTAGTTTTTAGTAATAAGTAGTTGCTCATGTATATAACATTAAATAATACTTATGACTTAGTATATTTAATGATATTTATTTTTATAATATTTTTAGAATAAATATTTTTCTAAGGAATTATCTTTTCTTTTATAAATAAATCGCTCGTTTCAAAAACGACATAAGGCACTTTTTTACAAAATTCACTTTTTACCATAAACGCTTCTATAGCTTCTATGGTATAGTAACAATAAAGCTTAATAGCAAAATATACCATAATCATATGCTAACACATGCTAACTACTTACTTTCATAGATTAACTATTAGCTGATGGAAAAATAAATCAAAGTGTGTGTAGGCTCCATGCTCAGGAATGTCGTCATGTGTCTATCGTGAAGAAACGAGGTATTATCCAGGGCCCCTGGAGCTTAGTGGTATGAAAGGAAAAGAGTTTACAGTTTGCTTCCCTGGTTGGCAAGCGAACTAATTTTGGAATGTAATATAACCTCAAACATTGAAGACAACATTTTTCTTCGCTTCAAACACCTAATGTGAGCAATTCTGAGGTCAAATTGGAATTCAACCCGGATAAAACCTTCATGCAAATATATTCTGATTTCCGTTTAAAAATTGTTATTGAATATAAAAGGTTGGCAACTGGTATGGCCGGTCATAGCTACGCGTCCGTAGAAAAGTCAGTATCGGTGGTATCAACATGGAATAGTGTGATTAATTAGCGACGCGGGGCGTCCCGTGTAAGTGACATTTAAAACGCGACAGGAGCCACACATCGACATTGACTAAAACGGTGCCATCGCTCAAGATAATGCCCGCCATTTATCATCTCAAGGGCCATTTCATATTTATTCCCTGACCCCTCCTCGCCATACTCGTTATTCTATCAGATTTTTCCGATAGCCGACAGGGGCTTATCGCCATCGACTGCGACGGGTTTAAACTGGATCGCTTAGAGCCCGAACCTTTGTCCAATAAATACATATTAATTTGAGCTGTATACTATAGTGCCTAAAAAACTTAAACAAACAGAATTTTGTCGGTGCCTTTGGGAAGGTACCATTTTTATTGGCAAAAATTTCGTTGCATTGATACAAATTATACAGGGTGTCCAAAATTGTATGTCAAACTGTCCAAACTTTAATGCACTCTCTAAAAATAAAACAGTGGATTTTCACTGATTGACAGTGCATATTAAGTATTTGCCGCAGTGATAAGTATACCACTAGCAATTAGTGAATACATGTAGCGATTTCTTTGCACTAATTTATTTAGTAGAAATTACACTGTACAAATTAGTGAAATAGGTTTAGTAATTATGATAACTAAGTTCAAAAAAGTTAAAATTTCACTATTTTATGTCGAGAGTTCCGGAAAAGTAGTGATAATAAAAAACACTAATTTGGAGAAGTTAAAATTTCACTAATTTATATTGAAAAACACTAATTTTACTCACTGACGGAAATAGTAAAAATTTCACTGTTTCACTTTTAGAGAGCACTTTCTTACTCTCTAAAAATGAATTAGTCAAAAATTACTAATTTAATAGTTATTAGTGGCTGCTTTTTCACTTGTACCATGGTTAACCATGGAATACCATGGTATCCCAAAATTTAACAGCCAATTCAGCCAAGAAGATATTTTCGGATTCAGGGGACAATTTTCCATAAGAATTGGCTGTTAAATTTTGGGATACCATGGTATTCCATGGTTAACCATGGTACAAGTGAAAAAGCAGCCACTTATAACTATTAAATTAGTCATTTTTGACTAATTCATTTTTAGAGAGTATGAATCTTTCTTATATTCAATCATTTTTAACGGTATACATATCGGAGAGTAAGTATCATTTTACAATCGTAGGAGTTTATGGCAATACACAAAATTCCCTAAGAACATTGTTCAGCATTAAGAATTTCAATTCATAACACGGGTCAACACAAAATTTGACTTTGATTTCAATGCATAAAATTTCGATAATTTAGGTCTTAATTAGACGAAAAAAAAATATATGACATGAAAAAGTTTGCTTTTGTATTTAGGAGACCGATTGAACGATATTTTTCAAAATCTGTGGTTTTAATTTTTAATTGAAGATGAAACCATTTAAATAAATATGTTGATTATTTTTATTAAGTTTTACTTTTAAATAACAAAAAAGTGGAAAATAATTTAAAAGTGTACGCTTTTTAGCTTTATTATTTTCTAAAAGTCCAGAAACTACTGCTTTGAAACTGTCCCAACTCTCTTTTTGAGTAAGATTCAGCAACGTTGGAAATTTTTCATCGGCGAACAACAAAAACCCCAGCTTTAACTTTTGCTTCTGATAACTTCGGAAAATTTTTTTTAAGTATCCAAAAGCTTTTGAGGTTTCATCCAGTTTTTTAACAAATTGTTTCATCAACCCTAACTTAATGTGCAGAGGAGGCATTAACACTTTTTACGCTTCAATAATCGGCTCAAATTTTACGTTTTGTTTTCCGACACAAAGTTCTGTTCTTACAGGCCATGACCGTTGAATATAGTGCTTAGCATCCGCTCTGCTATCCCATAAGCACAGATAACAAGGATACTTTGTATATCCGCTCTGTAGTCTCATTAAAAATCCCACCATTTTAAAATCTCCAATCAACTGCCAGTTATACTCGCGATACAGATTTAAGCTTTTTGTAGAGCTGTCAATGAATAAACGCCATTCGCTAGGCCCCTGGGGCCTAGGGTATGCCAAATTCTTCGACCATCCCTTTTATGTCATTGCAAAAACAAAGTCCATCTTCTTTTGTGAAAAACGTTAAGAATGTTTCATGCCCAGTCCACTGTTTTAAGCGAGAGCCTAAAAGCTCTGCTTTATTTTTTGGCAAATTTAAATCTCTTACCAAGTCGTTAAAATCTTCTGTAGTAATAAGATGGTATTTTGGTTGTTTTAGTGTAGGTAAAAACTCCCTATCGGAATTACTTTTACTAGAACTAAGAGATAAGCTACTTTTCTGCGATAATTTTTTTGTTGGCTCAGGTACTGGTCGTGTCAGGTCGTGTGCAATTGGACCAGAAGAAGATTCAAGTTCAGGATATTCGATAGGTTGCATATTTACTCGAATTCACAATGCAAAAGTAGCACTCATTGACGTGGACTTTTGGTTCTCGCCAGATCCTTGGTATTGCAAATTTCATGGACCTCTTTTCACCTCGATACCAACCTAAAATATAGAAATAAAAATTATTATGTCTATAGACATAGACTATAGTATAATAATATAATATAATTATATTTGATTCACCGCTTAATTAAAAATTGCTTACCTTCCAAACATCTTTCACAATAACTAAAAGCAACATGTGGAGCCCATGGCTTGTCTTGATGCCGAACAGGACAGTCAAAATATGCTTCGTAGGCTTCACATAGAACGTAAGATGTCTTTAGTTCGTATTTTACGTCTCGAAATTGACCATATATATAACAAACTGCATCAGCATCATATTTACACGTTCGCGACGACATTTTAATTTTTTCTAGACTTGTACAAAACACCTGATCGTTGTTTATCACTTAAGTACCATCTAGCGGCACTATGTAAACGCAAAAACCCCACTCTGATCGCGTGGTATTTTTAAATGTATTAAAATTAATTAAAATTTATAAAAAAATCAAAAATGAGTATTATTACTAAACTATCACAAAAGCAAACTTTATACCAAAAAAATGTATTTTCTTTTCGTTTTTGTTCATAATTAACTGAAAAATCATAAAATAAACTTTAGGACAAAGAACAAAATTTTTTTTGTAGACTCGTGTAATGCATTTAAACTATGTCCATATACGATGGATTTAATAAATCCCTAAAGAAAATAATCATAAGGAGTCAGATTGGTTTATCTCGCTGGCCAGCGAATTGTAACTCCATTTGATATTATTCTTTGGGGGAATTTTGTCTCTTGGGTTTGTTATTATTCAAACTGAATTATTAACACCAATAGACGAGATTTGAACAACTTTTAAATCTTCTTGAAGAATAGAATAGGGAGCGTTCAAGTATTACGTAACGCAATTTTTGTAAATTTTTGAAATGCCAAACTGATATTTTTAATTTAGTGAATTTAAAATATATGTTTCTTATATTTGTATTTTTTTGTTAAACACATATTTTTAATTCGCCTAATTAAAAATTATTAAATTTGTATGCAAAACAGATATTTTTAATTTAGTGAATTTAAAATATCTGCTCTCTAAAAGTGAAACAGTGAAATTTTCACTATTTCCGTCAGTGAATTATTAATTCACTGTAAAATTAGTGTTTTTCAATATAAATTAGTGAAATTTTAACTTCTCCAAATTAGTGTTTTTTATTATCACTACTTTTCCGGAACTCTCGACATAAAATAGTGAAATTTTAAGTTTTTTGAATTTTGATATCGCTACATGAAAAAGTGAGTATTCACTAATTGCTAGTGGTATACTTATCACTGCGGCAAATAGTTAATATGCATGCACTGTCAATCAGTGAAAACCACTGTTTAATTTTTAGAGAGTGCTTCTTGTATTTGTAATTTTTAGTTAAACACATATTTTTAATTCGCTAAATTAAAAACATCATATAGGAGACATTTTTAAATGAATTAAAAATATCATAGGAGATAATTTCAATTTGATTTAATTTTTATTTTATTAAATAAGTAGATATTTTTAATTGAATGTGATATTTTTAATTCCGACTGATTGATACCCCTGTTATTCAGTGAATAATGACAAATATTATAAATTCCCTGCTTAACAACAGGAATAATGAACTCATTATTAACGTTGTTAGGCATCAATATTTACTGTGATTTAAACCAATCGGGTTTTAAATTGGGAGATAGCGTCTATAATATCATTAAAAATTGGTAAAAGTAAGGTTTACCATTTGACAAATATAAGATTTTATTTTATTTTTTTGAAAATCATATAATTATCTACCTATTGTAGTAGATAAAGTATAGTACCTATTACACTCGAGATTATACGCATTATCTCTCATATAATAATATAGTAATAAATACCGTCCCAAACATTAAATTTATCGGGATATTGCGTTAAAAGACTTCATTGCGTTCAAAGACTTCAGTGGAGGAATACTGAAGTGTGGAAGGATTATGTTTACCTTGTAATGGAAAATAAATTCAGTGAACATGATATTTTTAATAAAATGTTTATCTGCGTTGGACAAAATTTCATTCATCGATATTGGTCATTCTTAAAAAGTCTTGGTGGACTTGATAATTATATGAAAAATATTTGAGTACAATAAATTGATTTAAATATATGGGGACAATTTATATAAATTTCACAGTATAATATATCCCATTTTACAGGTGTTATTTTAATATGACAAACAAGCATAGAAAAATGTTAAATGTTAAATCTTCGTGTGGCATTTTCGATTCAAGATTCGAATCATTGGAGTGTCCCGCTGTCTTTTGGGTCGAAAAATCAAGATAAGGGCGGTTTTGTATTTATTTTACACCTGTCACCCTTATTAGCCGAACACGAAGATTATTTATTGCCGTCGAGAGAAATCTTGAATAAACACACAATCTAAAAGGATTATAATAAAAGTTGAAATCAATCTTTTTGGGCGTTAACAAGCCTCTGTGTGAAATATGGCCTTTTTGGGGAATTTACACGGATCATGTGCAGATCTAGTTGTGTTATTAATGGCTAGATTTGGCTAATTAATATGCATAAACATGGTTTTGCCGTGGGACCACCTGCGTTGACTCCATCATTTATATCTCGGCCGAAATTTTTGACAAACACAAATCATGCGATCATAGTTCGTTAGCAGCGTACACATGTTTTGAAATCTGTCTTATTATTTGTTGGTTAAAAATGAGCCATTGACATCCAGGTGCCTATATCATAGACAACAAGTTCATAGATCGTTTTTTTCACTAATATTCCAGGTGTACAATTATGGTAATAGAATATTTAAAATAATAACAAGATTTAAACATCGGGGTATCCAATTTCCTTTAAGACTATTACAAGAAAAATAATGTAAAATTAAATATTAACCACCTGCCATGAATGTGTGTTTTTGTTCATCTGATAATTCTAATTATCCTGTAAGGTTAGCGCCTATTTCATTAAATCCCTTACGATCATTAATTTAAGTCAGAATTTTTTCATTTTTACGTAATTATTTAGAAGTCGTTGTTTATCTGATAAAAATTATGTTAATGTAAATGAATAAGTTAGACATGCAAAGGATATGTCTTGTTATTATAATAATATTCTAACAAACTTTTTTTACCAACTATATGTTTTGTTTAAGATTTAAAGCTCTGCTCTCTAAAAATGAATTAGTTAAAAATGACTAGTTACTACAGTTATTAGTGGTTGCTTTTTCACTTATACCATGGCTAATGATATCATGGTATCCCCAACATTTAACAGCTAATTTTTATGTACAATTGTCCCCTGAATCCGAAAATACCGTCAAAGATTATAAAAGTAGAGCAGTTTTTGAGATATAGTCAATTACATATTATACGGAAAATTGACTATATCTTAAAAACTGCTCTACTTTTATAACTTTTGATGATGTTTTCGGATTCAGGGGACAATTTTAGATGGAACTTGACTATTGACGAGAATTATTAGTGGCTGCTTTTTCGCCATGACAATTAGTCATTTTTGACTAATTCATTTTTTTAGGACGAGCTTTTATTTATTAGCTTTAATGTTAATAGGCTATATGGTAGAATCCTGCATTTTAATTTAATTATTATAATATTAACTCTAATTTTTTAATTAAGTGTGAAGCAAATTTTCTCTATCCTAAACATAATGATTTTTTCAAAAACTAAGATTTTCGGAATAGCTCCTCATAGGTATAGATAATTTAGTATACTTATTAGGTACCTATATATAGGTACTAATATAAAAATATGTACATTGTATCCCCAAATAGGTGAAACGACTGTTGGAAAAGTTGAAAATTCAAGCCTGCTTGGTTAAAGACTAATTTTCAACATAATTTTAGTTTGAGAAATCAAGTACATATTTAATTTTCAAAAAACTTATCTAGAGTAAAGTGCTTTTTATGTGGCCGAAATGACCAAAAGTTATATAGAAAAGTTAGTCATCATCTCGACCAACTATGAATTCAATTTAAAATGTCAAAAATCTGTGTGTGCTTGGTTCACAAATTGATGACGAAATGGAAAACATTAAAAAAATAGACTGTGTCCTTATCCCAAATTTCAAAATCCTCGGCCAACATTGATATCTTACTAATTGAAAGTCATATTTTACTAATTGTCATAGCGAAAAAGCAGTCACTAATAATTATTATTAAAAAGTTAAAATGACTATTTTATTAGTAAAAAATACTCTAATCATTTTAAAGAGTGGAATTTTTACTAAATAGTTTTGAAATTTTTTAAATTTATAATTAAGAAACTGTAAACAAATTTTTTTAATTTAAGAAATAAACCAAAGAAAATGTATGAACTGTCTTAAAATTAAATATTTCATTTTAAGACAGTACCTACATTTTCTTTGGTTTATTTCCTAAATTAAAGAATTTTGTTTGACATGTTTTTAATTATAAATAAATAAATTTAAAAAAATTCACACTAGACATTATTACTAAAGAATTTATAAGGTAAACTAAATTTATCGATACAAAGCCAAATTCTGCCTCACTTTGGAGAAAGGTAACGAAGCAAGGAATATTGAATGGATTTCTGTTTGTCTTTGGGAAACTAATTTTAGAAAATAGAAATTTTCAAAAACCTATAATCTTTTTATGAAACTAGGTACTTTTACCACAAATGGTGTTTTATCTTCACAAAACTTTAAAATTTCGTTCAATATGTTCTTGTAATATTCATGCACGAGTGATGTGTTTTTGTAACATTTTAATTTTAACAAAATAAAAATTAATTTGTCTATGATTTTGACGCCAAATTTGCAATGTTACAATGTGCTATTTAGGTGTTAACGTTCTTGGGAAATATAAAAGTTAAAAAATTTGCGTTTAAATACCTAGTAGATAAACTTCTTAATTTGGGTGTGTTAGAAAGGCAAGAAGAAAGTCGTTCACATTTTGGCAAACTAGGTGTGTGGTCTGTCGTCAATTCCACACGTATTTCAGTTACAAAGCACATGCCGTGTGGTGTAGTCAAGTTACAGAGGAGAAAGAAACTAAATTATTTCAAGACACGCCCTGTTTTTCTTTAAAAACTTTTGCAAACGACCCGTTTCGCCTAATTGAAACGGAACAAAAACCATCTTTGACAATCCCAATAAATCAACAATTAAAATAATCAAATGGCTTTTATTTTAATGGATTTTTTGTTTGGTGTTCATTCAATTAAACGTTTCAACGGTGCTGAGATAAATTGAAAATGGAACAACTTTATCTTGGTGTTATCGCAATAAAATTAACATGAATGAAAAAACGCGAATTTAAACTTTTGATTTCAATTTTTTTAATTACGTAGGTACTTTATAAA